TCCAAAGAAATGAAATTTAGCTTCCAGAGCATGTTTCCTAAACCTTGTGGTTTATTTCCCTGTATTTTAAGGGTGGTGGTGTGTTTTGGTAATAGGGGACTCTTTAAAAATTGGTACTTGTTTAATGACAATCTTATGTTACTACTAATAGGAAAATAACCTATACCATTTCTTGGGAAAAAATTTTTTAGTAGTCCAAAAAAATGTTCTTTTGAACTCTGAAATTTCCTTTTGTGCAATGGCTTCTTTTCACCCTAAATTTCATGAAATACTGTATTTTAGAGTCTGAATGCTCCATGTAAGTTCACCCTTCTTTTAAAGTGTCTTCCTTTTAAAATTATTTTTTTAATTAAAATTTATTTTTCCTGTCACAGCATTTGTTTTCGTCATCCCTATATACTTCTCTGTATTTTTACTAACTACTTAGTCATTGGATGTGTTTGATCACTGGTAGATTTCTTTTTCGTATTCTGTCTTGACCTAAAAATACAAGGGAATTTGCTCAAAGTGGATCATAGACCTAAGTATAAAATATAAAACTATGTAACTTCTAGAAGATAACATAGGGGAAAATCTAGGTGACCTTGGGTTTTCAGTGAATTTTTGATACAACACAAAAAATAGGATACGTTAGACTTCATTAAAATTTAAAACTTCTGCTCTGAAAAAGACTCTTTGAAGAGAATCAGAAGATAAACCATAGACTGGAAGAAAATATTTCCAAAATACATATCTAATGGAGAACTTGTATCCAAAATATACACATAACTCTTAAAACTCAACAATAAGAAAACAAACAACCCAATTACAATATAGGCAAAATGTCTGAACAGACACCTCACTAGAGAAGATATATAGATGACAAGTTAGGATATGAAAAAATGTTCAACATCATACATCATTGTGGTGGTGTTGTTAGGTGCCATTGAGTCAGCTCCAACTCACAGTGACCCTATGTACAACAGAACAAAACACTGTCCAGTCCTGTGGCAGCCTCATAATCCTTGCTGTACCTGAGCTCATCGTTGCAGCCACTGTGTCAGTCCATCTCATTGAGGGCCTTCCCCTTTTTCGTTGACACTCCGCTGTACCAGACATGATATCCTTGCCAGGGAATGGCCCCTTATGACAACATGACCAAAGTAGGTGAGACGAATTCTGGCCATTCTTGCTTCCAAAGAGCATTCTGGGCACGCTTCTTCCAGGACAGATTTGCTTATTCTTCTGGCAGTCCATGGTATTTTCGGTATCCTACACCAATACCGCAACTCAAAAGCATCGACGACTCTTCCGTCTTCCTTGTTCATTGTCAAGCTCTCACATGCATATGAGGCGATAGAAAATACCATGGCTTGTGTTAGGCACACCTTAGTCTTTAAAGTGACATCTTTGCTCTTCAGCACTTTAAAGAAGTCTTTTGCAGCAGACTTGCCCAATGCAATACGTCATCTGATTTCTTGACTGCTATGCCATTAGGAAATTGCAAATTAAAATAGCAAGGAGATAGCACTATGTGCTTCAAATCCAAAACACTGACAGTACCAAATGCTGGTAAGGATGTGGAGCAACAGGAGCTCTCTCACTCACATGATAGGTCATGGAAGTCTTCATTTAGATCTGATAGCTCTAACATTCTCCATCACTTGTTAAATGGCCCTTGATGAATGAAGAGCTTCTGAGACTTGAGTCTCAGAGCCTTCAGTGAACAATAATATCTATCTAGAATTAAATAACATACAACTTTAAAAAATACGCATGTTTATTTTTCTGATTATCTTCTCTTTTATGATAAACGTCAGTGGTATTTCATTTTCTCTTTTAATTTGAAGGTATTTTATATTTAAAAAAATGCATCAATTTCAAGAAAATATTAAATATTATATAGCTTGTACACAAATATTGTGAGAATTAAGAATATATACTCAAATGACTGAAGTTTTGGAAACTGTAAGCTAGGAGATATGGTCATTTACAGAGACCTTGAAGTGAATCCTTTTGTGAAGGAAGTTATGTGCTCCTTGGTGAAGCATGTAACTCTCTTAATTAATCTATTTGATGGACTTATCAATTTATGTGTAATTTCTTAAGGCAGTCTTCCATTGTTCTTTGTTTCTACAATGCCGATTTTTAAAATCTCTTTTGTATTCACTGATTTGACAAATATTTACTAAAAGTCATTAGACAGGACACTGGGGATGCAGTGGTGAACTAAAGAGACAAAGGCCTTGCCCTCTTGAAATTTGCTTTCTTAAATCCTTCCCCCTCCCCTTTTAGAGGCTGTTTAGGATTCCATTGAAATCAGGATCCTGGATAAAATTTAAATAAAATGAAAGGCAAGGAGGAGCTAAGTGAGTTTTATGAAAATATGTTTTTTAATAGATTTAAGAGGAAAAATAATTTTGTTTTCATCAGATTCTTGGAGCTACTTGGGTGTGCACTTTGTCTTCTATTTGACACATTTTGCATTTGGTGAAATGTTATGTACCTGTAGTGATACATAATGTAGAGATAGACTGTGTGATATTTTGAGTTCCCTTATAACTTTAAAGGAACTCTGGTGGTGTAGTGGTTAAGGCATTTGGCTGCTAACCAAAAGGTCGGTGGTTCAAATCCATCTGCCACTCTGTGGAAGAAAGATGGGGTGGTCTGCTTCCATAAAGATTGCTGTTGTTGTTATGTGCCATTGAGTCGGACCCAACTCATAGCGACCCCTCCTTGGGTTTCCGAGGCAGTATCACTACCGAAGTAGATTGTCCAACCTTCCTTCCGAGGAGTGGCTGGTGGATGTGAACTTCCAGCTTTCTGATTAGCAGTCAAGTACCTTAGGCACTATGCTACCAGAGCTCCCCCATAAAGATTAACAGCCTTGGAAACCCAATAGATAGGAGCTCTGGTAGCATAGTACCAAGGCACTTGCCTGCTAACCAGACGGCTGGCGGTTCAAACCCACCAGCCACTCCTCGGAAGGAAGGTTGGGCAATCCTACTTCCGTAGTGATACTGCCTCGGAAACCCAAGGAGGGGTCGCTATGAGTCGGGGCCGACTCGACGGCAAACAACAACAACAACATGAGTTGAAATTGACTCAATGGCAGTGAGTTTGGTTTTTTGGTTTTATAATTTTAAGTACATGAGGTAAGATGTCACAGCAAGGAGCAGTATTGTTTTAAGAATATGCATTGATGCCAGAGCCATTCAAATTTAGATTAGAAGTCACAAAGTGCCAGCCACTTGAGTTTTTTGCATCTTGGCCCACGTGGTATATTAATTCTTTTTAAAGTTACTTTACAGTTTTTAAAAGAGAAGTTTACACATTAATTTTTTTTTCTTGTTTATTTTGGGGATACAGAGAATCTGACATCATTGAGCCAGCTTTTCTGAATGGCAGAGTTGGCTGGAGCTAAATACTGGTTGCTTTTTGGAGGTTACCTCTGCTTAACTTATTCATGTTACCTGTCTGGCCCCAGTGGGTATTTGAATTTGCAGTCCTGTTTTAGGAGAGAGACTTAGCATTCGTCCCTGTGCTAGAGGACCAAAAATGTTGTTGCCATGGAAGCTGAGAAGAGTCCAACTAGATAGATCTCTGAATATAGTAGATGTAACACTGGCCCTAGGAGGCAGAAGTCAGGGCCCTTTGCTTGGCTAGAGTTAGTCAGGTACTTCATAGTACAGATACTATTTCCTGTCTTATGTACTTGTATTAGTTAGAGTTCTTGATTGTGAGCAACAGAAATGGGTTTTGGTGAAATTAGGCAAGGTGGGACTTTATTGAAAGGATATGGGATTATTCATAGTACCAAAGGAAAAGAGAATGATCTAGAATCAGACAGTCCAGGAAACCAGGGATAATCTACCAGGGGTGGTAGAAATTAAGAAAATTGATAAGTTTCTTCCAAATATTTTCCCTTTCTTTGTCTTTCCTCTGAAGGATCTAAAGTCCTGGTAAAGAGATTCAGGGTCGCCTGGCACACATGCTTGTTAAGGATGGGCTGGGCACCTTGATTGGCAGTCCCTCCAATACTGCACACAGTAGAACAAAGACTAAACCCGTTGCTGTTGAGATGATTCCAACTCCTGGCAACTCCATGTGTTACAAAGTAGAACTGACTTGAGATCCATTTCAGATCTGTGTTTTTGCATAATTCTCTTCATTAAAGCAAATGGGATGTTATGTGCTTGAGCCTCAACTGCTTTTAAGAGAAGCATCTGACATTTTCCAGTGCTAAGTAGAGGTTGAGTGTCTTCATCCTCCCCTGTGAGCCTAATTTCCTTTGAGAACTATTGTCACAGCCATAGAATAAGTGATTCTTCCCCAAATCACTGGTCTTCGAGGTGTAAGCATCCTTCAACTTGTGTAGAATATCACCCTAAGTGTGACAGTGAATTTTCAAAGCTGGAAAAATGGTTATTGGCATGTAGTCTTTTTAAAATGTGTGTGCTCTTGTTTTCTTTCTTTGCAAGATCTTGATTTTCAACAAGCCAGCCAAAGGATTACACTCCCTCCCACCCCCTACTCCCCAAGAGAAGAATCACAGGCATAGCTGGAAATAGAAATTAATGATTCAAATAAGGGAGGCTGAGCAGAAAGCCTCAGCTGGGTGGCAGGAAGCAGAGAGGGAAAGCCAGAGACTGCTTTTTGAAAAAGGCAAAACAAACAACTCACAGTGAAGTGTACATGGAAATCATTTCTAATAATAGCTCATGGTAGGCAATTCACAGGGAGAAAAATCATTGGAACACTGAGAAAATTAAAGTGAGAATGCACAGTATCGTGTGTGTTACTCAAGGCAACAGAGCTTTCGAGTTTACCCTATGTGCCATGTACATTGATTAAATGCAAAATATATGCTGGCCATTTTTGACCATCATTTACTGTATTGATTTGTTAGCAGGGGAACTGTAATAAAAAAGGCATTGATTTACTGTCCTTATTTGCTTATGGGCTTTTTTTTTTATTATTCATTTTTCACTTTTTTGTTCTCTTTTTTGGATCACTTCTAGACAAGTGCTGTGCTTTGTGAAGTTCGAAGAGAGGGGCTCCCCATGGAACAAAGGATTGGAATCTTGACTGCCATCCTGGCCTCGCTCACCACACGGCAGAACCTGAGGAGGGAATGGCATGCCAGGTTAGTTCTGGAATGGAATGGGATGTGTTGTCCCCGAAACACAAGAGCTCTCTCTGATGAAACCTTTCATTTTGGCTAGTCTCATCCCTCTCAATTGTGGGCCTATGAAAAATAAGCAAGTTTTAAGGTGCCTTCAGCTAAAGTTAGCTTTTGTGCACACGGTACCTACACTAATTGCACAGCTCCATGACGTCATCTGTGTGTGTGTGTATGATTTATCACTGAGTGTGACATTTAGCATACATGTTTGCATCTCAAGCATAATGGATAGAGGTACCTGACGCTGGGGAACCCTTTTAACGAACAGTCTAAAAGACTAGCGTTGCTGTTTAGTTAGGACAGAGGTTAAGAAATCCACATAGGGTTCTTATATCACTTGATGGGGGGTGGGTTGCTTGAAGTGGTCTATTTATCAGCTCCATTTTTAGAATTGACCAAGTAGGGATTACTTTTGCTTCTACCTGGTTTCTTTGCACATGGACTTAACTGTGGTCAGAAAGCTGTTACTGGTGGAAAGCTTCCTCAAACGGTTGGTTTTTCCAGAAATGATGCTTACATAATAAATACCATGTTTTCCTACTCTTATTTCAAAAACAATTGATCTGTGGAAGGCTGGAAGTCGTTCCCCAAAATGATAGGGTTAGCCTTCAGACCTGTAGTTTGTAAAACATGTTAAATTATCATGTGTCCCCAAACAAGAGGGAGAGGAACCAGGAAGACTAATGCTATGTTTTTGTCTCAGTCTTATTTGATGCTAAAAATTCTGTCTCTGGGAGTCAAGGACATATATTGATAGCCATAATCTTCTCCAAATGAGTTCATGCAACAGAATCTACAATAATTAACAGCTTCACTAGTAACAGTTATCATAAAAATAGATTCATCTGAACAAGGCTGAAGATGAGCATTTTCTAAGAAAGAAGACAGTAAAGTGTATGAACTATCAATTTTGATTGAGTATCAGTAAGCTGCTTTTTCAGATATATGTATCATATTTAAATTCAAACTCATATTCAAACAATAATTTAAAAATTCCCAGCGATCTCTCACACCCTTTTTTTGTTGTGTGGTCAGAGTAGATGGGAGGCTATTTCAGCTGCAGGAATGAAATGACTTCCAGTTTAACTTTTAATAATTAAGTTTTGAATTTTCTTTGCATTACAATTTAAGTATGGGTATTCATTCAAGTACATTTATTTTATTAAATGAGGGACTATTAGTGTGAGGTCATCTAAGACGGTTCTCTCTTATTTGACCTTTTCTATTTTTCCCCCCTGGTGATTCTTATTAAATAGGAAAGGAAGAAGGAAAGAATTCCCCTGTAATCTCTCCCCCACCCCCATCCCTCCAGTGACCGCACAGCGCAGAGAGAGACCCAGTGTTGAGAATGATCTTTTGTGTAATGCATTGGGTTTGTTAACAATAATTTCCTGATAAAGCAAATCATCAGACAACATGGCCAAAATGGCCCGTTTAAAAGGAGTCTGGTTTCAGCATATCTGGCCCTCGCTGCTAACAATTTAATCAGGAGCTGGAGCCAGCATTGAAGTTGATGTAGTCTAGCATCTGAAACAAAAATTCTCAAGTCCTTTGTGGTAGGGGAGGAGGAAAGAAAGAGCTTAGCAGCTGACACTCTGCAGACCTCCTTAAAACTAAACACCTGAAAGAAAATTTCAAGAGGGTGATGTCTTGCGAGCCCAGAAGGAAAAGTGTCCTTAGAGTATTAAATAACCATAATCCTTCCTCCTCCCCCATTTGATGTTTCCCATCCTGTGACCTATCTAAAAGACTCATCCATATGATCTGTATAAACAGACTGTTACCATACACCTTCCTTTTCCTCATCAAAGCTTCATCTGGCTGTCTCGAATCGGGCATTGCCTTGAGGAGCCATCAAGCTCATGGTGGTGAAAGTTATAAAACACCCACTGCAGTGCTCGGTGAGCTGCCTGTCTTGGCAAGATTGGCCTATTGTGTACTTTGGAATCACACGAGGAAAAATGTGCTTTGACAGAAAATAATTAGCACTCGCCAAAGGCCAAGCAATAGGTTACAGTATTTTACTTTCATCAAAGCTATCAGGGGATCAGTTAGATTAGATAATAGAAATTTTTTCCTCTGAAAGTTAAATACAGATGACTCTAATTACCTTATACTGCACATTAGAGAATGCAATATGAATAGAACAACTTCAAGAAATTTAGGTCAACTGAGACTCCACAGCTGGCAAGAACTTGCGTATAGGTCTCCTGTAATACACAGGGCTTTTTTTTTCCCTCTTCAGCAGGTTCATTTGTGATAACGATGTTGGAGAGGATGTTTTTAAGTGAAACTTGTAACTCGCTTCTAACATATTTGTATGTCTCTCAGGCCAGGAGCCCAGCCAGTGGGGCTCAGTGAATTCTCTTAAACTGAAAGCATATGTTCCCTGTAATTTAGATTTGGGAGGAAGGTGTCAGTTCTGCACAAGCTGGAGTGACTGAGTTTGTCACAGTGTCACACCATTCTGCAATTGTAGGGCATATCTGAGTGCTGTGGGTTTCCTTCACCAAGTTCCGTAATCCCATCAACAACCTTCTCCAAATAGGCTTATTAGGGCTGTCTATTCACTTCCCCAGAGTTGAATGATCTGAAGTACGTCAGGAGAAGCTGTGTGAATGCGGGGTAAGTGTTAACAGAAGTGGTACAGAATTTCTGAAGATTTAGCTTTGTTTATACAGTCCACTCTGCCTGATGGACAGCTTGTTATAGCTTTTAAAGAACTGGGCAAGCCCTCTGATCTGACCCCTTCTTGACCTCTGCAGCCCAAAGGTCAGTCTGCAGCTAATAAACTCTGAGGTTCTTAGGGTCTACTGTAGGAAAAGGCAGAAAAAGAGCAGCTGCAAGGACTGGGTGTCTCAGGATAGGCTGCTTTAGGGTCACTCTCTGATAATGAAAATGATTACCAAATTATATGGAAGTTTAACCGCAATAGTGAGTGAGAGGAGGGTGGAGCCCAATGTATTAGGTTTGATAAATGAACTGTGAAGAGGCCCATCTGGCTCTCAACATCTTTTCTCCCCCTCTTTCCCTACCAAGGGGAAACATTTTAAAATAACAGCAGTACATATAGACTCAATGACCCATGCAAGGAGCTGGAATGGATTAAGATTTAATAGTGACAGTGGAAGAAATTATCATTTGAAAAGTACACCAAAGAAAAGGTACAGTTTAGTGTCTGTGCTTGGCTTGTTTTTCTAAATAATATATAATAAAAATCAATGCCTCTGTTTATTCTATTCAAATCCCCAGTGTCTTTCTGAGATTTCTGAAAACTTTGAGGTCACTGTTTATTATGGAATAATTATTTGTAGTCAGCCTAAGGAATGGAATGGGCTTCCTTTTGCATCAAACATGTCAGAATGAGAATTAAACTTTTGTTTTCCCCCTGCCTGTTTACTCAGTTTGAATAGTGTACATAAATCAAATGTTAGAGAAAACACTTTACAGAGAAATTGGTGCACATCACAGCAGCTGACTACTGACCAGTATGCGGTTTTTGGAACTATTGAATATATGTGTGATTCTTCACTTCTGTTTTATTTCTACCAAAAGTTGACAGTTTTTCTGTAAAAAAGAAGAAAGCATATAATATTAACTGAGTATATATTTGCTCCCTTCTTTCACCCTTTCTCAAAGACACGTGATAATACACTAATCAGTTCTAATAGTATATAGGTCCCAAGCTGTATGTTCACTTACTGCTAATTGATAAGAGAACGATTTCAAGCTATCTCCCCAGTTCCCGGTGAATATGAAGTGTCCTGGTTTCAGGGCAGTGACACTGAAGATCATGAAGCTCTGTATTTTTCTTCAGAGACAGTTGGCATGACCCATGATGCTGCTTGCTGAAATGAGAGTGACTGTATTCAGTAACCATCTTTTTGTATATTTTATATACCTACCGTGTACAAGGGAGCTCTGGTAGCATAGTGGCTAAGGCATTTGACTGCTAACCAGAAGGCTGGAGGTTCAAACCTACCAGCCACTCCTCGGAAGGAAAGTTGGGCAATCTACTTCCATAGTGATACCACCTCGGAAACCCAAGGAGGGGTCGCTGTGAGTCGGATTCGACTCCACAGCAATGGACTGTTTTTTTTTTTTTTTTTTTTTACTGTGTACAAACTACTGCATGAGTTGCTGTCCATAATATCGTGTGCTAGGCAGCCAGGCTAAGGATTTATTTGGCAGTGGCAATTCAGAGGCTGTGGGAGTAGGGACTAGAGAGCGGTGCCGTAGTTAGCACAACCGAGTGGCAAGCTTTTCTCACTCCTTACAGGATGTAGGTCTTAGAGGATGAGAATTGTTTTACATGGAGAACCCCTTGTATTGAACCACAGTATCCATATCATACAAGCCTTTACCTAGTCAATAATTATATTGGAAAGTGGAAATAAAAAGCTTTTAAACATTATCCCTAATTAGCATATTTTTCGTTTTAGATTTTGACTTGACTGTGCATGTCCTTGGGAATTTAGAGTGAACAGAAAGTTAGGTAAAAGATAATCCAGGGACATGAGAAACACTTTGAGAATTAGCTGTGCTCTTTAACTTTAAAGCTGTGCCTTTAAACTTCTACTAAGTAAGGTACATATACAAAAAAGAAAACAAACCGAAAGCCTTTAGACCTTTTTTTTTTTTTAATGGAGATATAACTTGCATAACATAAAACTCACCATTTTGAAGTGTACAATTAAGTGATTGTTAGTATATTTACAAGATTGAGCGACTATCATCACTATCCGATTGCAGAACATTTTTATTATCCCAAAAAGAAACTCTGTACCCTATTAGCAGTCACTCTCAATTCCCCCACCCCAACCCCCATAGCCTCTGTAACCATTACTCTACATTTTGTCTGTATATGGCTTTACATAATTTAGACATAGCCTATCAGTGGAATCATACAATATGTACCTTTTGTAGCTGACTTACTGTGTTTTCAAGGTTCATCCATGTTG